TCGGCTCCATGATCAAGTGCACGTTTTCAGAGCCTATCGGAGTAATAATTTCGTCTGCCAACAAAGCTGCAGCACAATGGAGTCCTTCACAGCCTTAGTATGGGAGAAAACAACATGATATTCTAACATCCCAACTATAAATTGAAACAGTGAGGATATCTCATGATATCCACTATCTTTAACAAAATTGATGTTGTATTCGTTGCATGGAAATGAAATATTGGGTAGCATGCACCTCGCTATGCTACCTTCCGCCCGCTCATCCCGCGTGCGCCTTCTGGACTGACGTGAGGTTTCGCCCCTCTTGGCAACATAAATGGTTTGGTTTGTTCGACACTAAGCGCACCCTATATGCTGGAACAAAAGCATAAAAAGATGGTCATCACGAGTGTTGATTTGTATTCTTTTGTGAGGGCCCTGGCCGCTCAATGTTGGGTTGCCCCCCCCCCCCCCCAATGTTGGCTTGGCCCGCCCAATGTTTTCGGCTGGAATATTACAAAAAAGTGAGTGAAAGGTGGTCATAGCACAAATACTATTTTCTTTGATCTGTCTGCGAGGTGGCGTCTCGTACCACTCGCATAACACAAAATCATGGTTACTGTCACCACGATATACAAATCGTAAGAGTTGAACGGATAAACGATGCAGTAAACTTCACATACCTAGTGCCATAAGACACGCAATGGTTTGTGAGGTTAAAAGTGAAAAGCTCTGGAATATGGGGATGGCCTAAGTCCTGCATGGCTAACCCCGGCCCGTCCCCCACGACCAAAATGCGTGTCGCTTCCCATGACCGCCATAGAAGAGCGCCATCGGCGCCCTTAGGTGGCATGTAAAGGGGCGCCTTCACGTGCCGATCAGAAGAGACGCGTGTGTTCAGTGCCTGCGCCCTAGATCCAACCTTGTATGACTCCTACACTGCATAAATTAAAGACTTTTAGAGATTATGCAACGGTTAAAAACTTGTATTGCGTTTTATCGAGGTAAAATGGGGTAAATCCAATGGGAAAAATGTGGAGGGGGTGGGTTGTCGGACCTTCGGCTCGGCCCCCAAAAGTTTGCAAAAATTGACACCCCTGGTGATCATGCATATGATCCACAGCTTGTGTGCGGCCATTTCAGGCGACCCCCCATGGTTCGCCCATCAGGTCGGGTTGAACGGGGTCAAGGCACATGTTCGTTGTCTGTACAGTCCTCGGCATCTCGTAGAGTGGAGCTGGCTCATTTCCAAGGTCCACGATTGTTTTTGGAGAGGATGGTGTGAAGTCAGAAAACATTATTCCCGGACTCGCCATGACATTGGTTTTGGGTGCACCGTTTCTTGCGAGACAAACGGGGTCAGTATTAAAAGTGTTGTTATATTTCATCTGTCTGACTTTTGAGAACGATGTCATAGCACCGTGACTTGTCAAGGTAAGAGGCTGAAGCTCTGAGGCCACACCATAACAGGTCAGAAACCTACCCAGCCGAAAGCCAATTATATCACACTCAGTGTTTCGGGAGAAGCATTAGAAACCGTCTCCCAGCCGGATAGGGCTTGCGTAGGAAATTGGTTGCATTTTGGCACAGTTGTGTGCCATTGAATTGTCTGCCTGCGTGCAGTCAGTGCTAGACCCCTCGCGAGAACTGCCCATCAACCATATGAGTTTCGTAGCTAGGCCACAGTTCCGAACAAACAGCTCCGTGCTATCTGTCGGTACTGGAGATCCCTGAGGTCATCCTGATATAGTCGGCCGGATATGTTTACTTGCACGACCCGTGCTGGGTCAGATACGCGGGAATGTGCCGGGTCTGGGACGCAATTTCCCCAAGTTAAACGTGAGAAGATGTCACGAACGACGCTCGGGTGACGTCTGTACGGACATGAGTAATTGTTGGGGCGGACCGATGCCTCCATCGCCTCCGGCGGTGGAGCGGCGTATTCTCTCACGCCGATGGACGCCAGGCCGGTGGTCGGGTTCGAAGCCACGACCGTGCGCGCAAGGTCGTGGGCGGACGCGCCACCACCTATGCCGGGCCGTCCCCTCTGGACGGACTGGCCAGACGCCTGCCTCTGGGTGGACTGCCGGGGCGATGACGCGGAGGCGGATGCCCGTCTGCCCACGCCAACGGGCCGGGTGTTGGCCGGACCAGGCCGGGCCGTGGCCAGGGCCGTGCGCCGCCTCAGCCAGCCCGGCTCGCCCACGCGCACCGGCCACTCGGCCCGGTCACCGTCTGCGGCGACGGGTGTTGACCTTGGTGCCGCCTTGCTTGGCCTCTGCTCCCGCCCTGTGCCACCTCCGTCCGGCCGCTGGGACGGGCCCCGACTGGCGCCTCGCCGCGATTGATTCCGGCCACGTGTCTGAGCGCTGCCGACCTCGATGGCGGCCGGCGCCGGCTGGCCGCGTCACCGGCCCACTCTGCCGTCTCACGGCTGCACGGCCGGTCCCGGGGCACCATTTGCGCCGGCCCGGCTCCAACGGCCGTCTGCGCGGCACCGCCCGCCGTGGTCAGGCTGGGACCTCTCCCGCCCGGCCGAGGACGTGGGGCGCACCCGCCGACCCACGCCGGCGCGCTGTGGCGTCGCTGCGGCCGGTCGCGTGGTCAGCGCCCTGGGAATGGCCGCCGGCTGCGGCGAGCGACGGCTGGGGAACCGACGGACGTGGGCTCCGAATGGTGGCTGCGACCGGTCTGTGACTTCGGGTCTCAGCGCGAGGTACGCTGGCCTGACCGTAGCGGGTCAGTCAGACGGGCCCGCTCGGAGGTCAGGCGGCGCTGACCTGACTGCGGGCGGCGCTGCGGCCGGTCCCGTCAGCCCGCGCCCGTCACGCCCCTGCCCGGCGGACCGGGCTCTGCGACCGGGGCCGGGGCCGCGGTGCCGCCGCGTCTGTTGTGCCGCAGGTGGCGAGCGGCGGCCGTCGACCCCCGGCCGCGACCGCGTAACCGTCCGATAACGGCGTGTCTGCCACCGACGCCCGACGCGGCGAGTGCAGGCGCGCCGGCTGCCGCCTAACGCAGGGGCGAGCGGGCGCTCGCGGATTCCGAGTCTCCAGACCGGGTCCGGAAGCCGCTTTCGGGTGCAGCCACTCCCTATTCAAAGCTGGGCTGAAGCTCAGTGTCCTGGACAGGCCATCGCTGTCGAGAGTCAGGCCACGAGTGTGGCGTCCGTGGGACGCAGTCCTCAGGCGTGGGCGCAGAGCCCAGCTCCTGTGACGTGCACTCGGTCGGGGATCACTCCAGAGCTTGGTGTCTCAGGCGACCCCATCTGAAGCGTCGGCTCGGAGCGCGGCCGTCGGCTGGTGCGTCCTCTCTCTTCCTCGCCTCAGGCGCCCGCCGGCAGCGTGCCACTGCGGCAAGGTCACGCCAGGGCCGACGGCCGACTGCGGCGGCGGCGGCGGCGGCGCGCGCGCGCGAGCGCGTGACGCCGCCGCGTCAGCATCACTGCCGGCGGCCCAGATGAGCAGGCGGCCATCGATTAGACGGCGGCCGGAGCAGCGGCGGCGGCGGCGGCGGCCGGCCAGCTGGACCGCCAGCGGCGGCGGCAGCGCCGGCACGGCTCAGTGCACCACCCACGGGCGCCGTGTGCACTGGCCGCCGCGCCATTAACGGAGCCGGTCCGGGTGCTAACGGGCTTGACGTGGCCGATTAATGAGTCTGCGACGATGTGAGGCAGTGGCTGCGGCCGTCCAGTGGTCACAAGATAGGACAACTGGTGACTAGTGAGGCCGGCCAGGACGTAGCGCCGTCCGACTTCACCTGTCGCCCCCCGGACCTGGTGCGGCGGCGGCGCCGAGCCGTACCCGGCTGCCTCTTGTTACCCGTCGCCGCCGGTCGGCCCGGCCGCCGCGGCGCCACACAACAGCGGCGGCCACCCGACATCGATTCTCGGCGGCCGTCCGGCCGGCGTGACCGGACAGGCTGTTTTCCGCTGGCGGCGGCGACGGCGGCATGTTGACACCGGCACAACCGATCCATGGCGGATGCGGCGGTGAGCGGAGTCGCCCTGTCCTGTCCTGCCGGTCCTGCCTGTCCTGATCGGCTCCAAGTCGTCATGGTCCGGTCCGGTCCGTGTCGGGCCGGGCTCAGCCGAGTCGGGCGCGCGACAGCGTGTCGTGCCGGGCGCTGCAGGCCGGGGCGGCAGCTTCGCACCGAGCAGCCGCGGGTGCGGGCCGCAGTTGCCTGTCGCCCCGCCGCTGCGACGCCGCCCACCCTCGATGCACCTCTTCCCCGGTGAACCCAGGCGTACGCGCAGGAAGCGCGCGAATTTCACAGGTGGGGCGGCGCGCCCCCGCTCCAGCTTCGTTTGGGGTCGGCGGCGGCCAGCGGTCCGGCGGCGGATTGGGAGATTCACGCCGCCTTGTTTTCCAGACGAGAAGCTCCGTGTCGCACTCGGCGATGCTGATCGCTGGAGCTGTTAGGACGGGCGTCGGTGCGCGAGACCTCGTGTCTGTAGGTTGGGCGACGGGTCGCGCCTCCGATTCACGGACCGGTGCGAAGTAGCGCGGCAGTCACGCGTGGCGCATGTGACATCCGTGCTCGACACTAATTGATAAATTAGCGGAACCGGCACTATGAAATGGCGTCGCATGACCTTGAGGACGACCTGTCCATTTCCGTCGTAATTCTGTTGGATTTCGGCCGTGTGCGACTGTACCCGCCGGTAGCCTGGCTGGCATCCCACCAACTCCCACGCGCTGCATTATCGGAGACCTCTCACCGAACGCTATCACGCCGGACATGCATAATGTACGCGCCTGGGAGCGAGCGGGTTGGTGACTCACGCCGTGTTTGTTCGCGTTGTGGTGTGCTGGCTGCACAATCGATGCCCCCGAAGCGGAAACACGCCCGCTACTGACATCGAGCGCCGGCCCTAGCGGCGCAGGTGTCAGCAGCCGCTGGCGGGGCGTCCGGGGCGTGGAGCGCCGGCCCACCGCTGACCGGCCCGCTGCTGACCGGCCCGCTGCTGTCCGGAGTCCCGCCGCTGACCGGCCCGCTGCTGACCGACCCGCCGCTGTTCGCAGGGAGCGGAGAGGTGCCAGCGCCGCGGCCGCAGCCAGCCGTCACCAGCTCCGTCTACACCCGGCACAGAGGTGGGTGCGCGGCTGAGGCTGTGGTGCGGCCACTGAGCGCCGCCACAGTGGGGCCAGCCGGCGCCCGGTCGTGCCGGGTCTCCCTCACCGCGCGGCCGCGCCGACACAGGCCGGCGGTGGCGTGCAGCCTCGACCCGCGCCTGGCCGGAGGGCGCGGACGCGGCCGCGTGACGGGATCTTCGGCCTGGGCGTTCCTCGCCCCGTGTTAGCCCTCTCGCTGGCCACCGCAGAGTGTCTGCCGTAGTCGCTGCGGGTGCTTATCGTGAGCCCGCTGTGCTGTGGTACGGCGAGTCGGCCGCCGCGTTCTGTACTGGTCGCGCAATCAACTGGCGCATTCGCACACGGGAAGCGCCATTGCGTGTGCCGCCCGCGTGCGTCCCAACGCGCGGTCTGTTCAGCCGGTAGTGCAGGGTCGTCTGTCCGTCTGCAGCCGGCAGCGAGCGGCGCGGGAGCGAGTGTACCGGCGACCGTAGGCCGACCGGCTCCAGCCCGTCTATCGAGCGCCGGTCTGTACGGTTGAGGGCGAGCTTGGCTAGGCCGTCTGTCACCTGGCGATGGGCGGCGTGGCGCTTGCGCAGGGAAGGGGGGGGGGGGGAGGAGGCCTTCAGCTGCCCGCCACCAGAGGGCGCGGTCGAGCTCGGAGCTGGTGACCGGCCGCAGCCGACTGGGGGCCATTCCGTTCTGTACGTCGTCCTGTTTTTCGCTGTTCACGGCTGTGATGTGCAGAAGCATTGGTCGCAAACTAGAGCGGCTGTTACCACTTGTTGTTTCATTTGTGGTGATGTGGGTAGTCTTGAGTCGTTACGGTGGAACGCGGCCGCGCCGGAGGCGATGGGTTGGGGCTGGGGATGGGGCGTACCTTCGGTGCGGTGATGGGGGCTCACCCATTACGGCTAACCCCGGTCGGGAATGCGGTCAGCGTGATGAGAGCAAGGGTCTCGGAGACCGCTGTCTGCAGCCTCCATGACGCCAGCGGGCCGCGCCTCATTGTGCTCCGTGGGCACCGATCATATCGGGTCGTGACTTGTTGCGCCGTTTTGTTTGGGAAGGGTCGAAAGTCAGCGGAAAGCTGCGCGAGTTGTGGGAAAGTTTTCGGCTATTTGGGTCTGCACTGAGGCGGCGGTGGTGCCGGTCATTGGATCCGGTCGATGTGCCCGATGGGTGTCATGGTGCGCGGCCGGTCGATGTGCCCAACGGGTGTTATGGTGCGCAATGATCCAAGTCTTGTGAACACGTGACCACTTGTGTTGTCTTAGTTTATGCTGCCACGTAGGACGGCACGTCGGTTAGTGGAGATGCATTGTGCAGCAAAACAGGGCAACGAATGCGCTTTTACGCAAGCAAGTCTCACTAAGGCTGTTCAGTAGGCTGGCTGGGAGCGGACGTCAGTTCTTCCATTTGGTTGGTGCGTCGAAATGGCTGAAGTACGGGATACTGGATTGCCACTGGCAGCCGAGCGACCTTTGGCCCAGGCAGCGGCGCCCAGCACCTGCTTAGGCTGTATTGATTCGGGCAAGCTCCGTGGACGGGGTAGCCTAGGTTCAATGGGTTCAATGGGCTCGTTTTAAAAAGGTGCTGTGGATCTGCCGTTCGGACAGCAGGCCTCTCCGGTGGTTGCCTCCGCCCCCTGGCAGGACAGGAATTAGCCGTTATGTGATGTTGGCGGCGGTGACTGTGCCTGGCTGGGGTGTCGCATCAATTGTTAATCAGGTGCGACGCGCGGGCCTGGCTGGGGTGTCGCATCAGTTGTTAATCGGGTGCGATGCGCGGGCTCGGCTGACGATGCGGGGACGGCGGATGCCACCAACGGAGCGCAGCTGCGTGCAACGTGTGCGCGCCGGAAGTCGGGAGGCCAGAGTCGACGGTGGGGTGGCCTTTTAGTGTTGCCAGGTAGTGGCGCCGCGGTGCGAGCGTGCGGGGGCGTTTGCGTGTGCGGTGTAGTCGTATGCACCGCATTCTGGGCTGATCCGGGGGCAGTCTGGCTCGGGTGGGGAGGGGGGGGCAGTCTGGCCGGGGGTGGGGGTGGGGGGGGGGGGGGGGATGCGAGAACGGTCTTGCCTAGAAGCGCCGCTGTCGCGTACGTGTCCACGGCTGCCAGTACCGGTGCGTGTCGCGCCTGTCGGCAGACCAGCCATACCACCAGCAGTCGAGTCGCAACGTGCAGGAAGCGCTGCACCAATGGCCGGCTGAGGCTGAGGCCCAGGTGGAGGAGGAGGGGCCCCCGGCCGCCGTCTCCGCAGGTACCGCGTGTCGGCCGTTTGCCTGCCCGGCTGCCCGGCGGCTCGTCGTGATTAAGTACCGTTACTGACAAACACCGCGTGTGGCGCTTCGTCGCCGGGCACAGCTACCGGCGACGAGTCAGTAGCTGCCCATAACCCAACGTTCGCCTGTACCGCCAGCTGGACTGCGGTGGCATCAGCTGTTTTGATGAGTCATCCCGTAGCCGACGAGTGCTGTGGCGTACCGGCATTTGTCCGCATGGCTCTCTGCTTGCTTTAATCTCGCGTACACGATGGCATGTAAAACGATCATTTGGCAATGGAGGCGACCGCTGGCCACCCGGTAACGCACGTAGGAGTGCCCCCATGCGATGGCATTCCGATGACCTCCCTGACGCGCCGACTAACACTTGTCTGGTCTTCTGTTTGTGGAGTTGACTAACAAGCCGGCGTCGTACCGGAACGGTCGCGACCCGGCACGGCGCCCTGTCAACGGGGCTGAGCCGGCCCGATGGAGCGCGCTCAGTGGCTGGACGTGTGTGTGTGTGTGTGTGTGTGTGTGTGTGTGTGTGTGTGTGTGTGTGGTGTGTGTGTGTGTGTGTGTGTGTGTGTGTGTGTGTGTGTGTGTGTGTGTGTGTGTGTGTGTGTGTGTGTGTGTGTGCGTGCGTGCGTGCGTGCGTGCGTGCGTGCGTGCGTGCGTGCGTGCGTGCGTGCGTGCGTGCGTGCGTGCGTGCGTGCGTGCGTGCGTGCGTGCGTGCGTGCGTGCGTGCGTGCGTGCGTGCGTGCGTGCGTGCGTGCGTGCGTGCGTGCGTGCGTGCGTGCGTGCGTGCGTGCGTGAACTTGGCAGGTTGCGGGCGGACCAAATCCGTTCGGCGTGACATGTGAAACGCTGGTCCCGCATAAGTCGGTTAGTATTGTTGATAAGCCAGACCCGGTCAGGTTGGGGCGGGCGGCTTAGCAGACTGATTTGGCGACGTCCTGGCCTCTGTTGACGGGATATGGGGGAGGGGGAGGGTCGTGCAGCTCTGCCGTTTGGCCACATGTGCTCAGCGTGCATCACTTTAATCACCTCTCATCTTAAAGCTCAGTTGTGCACACCTCGGGCCCCCCGGGCCGCCCCCACCTGTCGTCCTGCTCACAGCCAACTGCAGGTGAGTGCGGTGTCGCGCCGGCCCGTGTCGGGTCGTGCGGGCGGCGGGGCGGGCGTCTCGGCCGGCGAGTGGCCCGACCGGCCGTCTGGCGACGGTGACTGTGGGGTCCGTGGGCGGCGGCCGACCGTGCAGCGGGCCCGCCTCGCCGCGATGGAGTGTGGGAGTGCGGGCAGGCAGGTACCAGCCGCCCTGACGCCGGTGATCCTCGGACTGCCGGCAGATGGCGCCGACTCGACTGGCCTCTCCCACAAGGAGAGGGAGGAACGAGTCCGCCTGTTCAAACAGCTGCAGCTGGAGGAGGTGCAGCGCAAGAAAGAGATCCTCGCGCGCCAGGTGAGCGTCGCCGCCGGCCGTCGCTCTGCGGTTACGTCCGCTCCTGCGTCCCGCTGGCTGTGTGTTGTGTCTCCCACGCGCTGGAGCGCGCTCGTGCAGCCGTGCGTGTCGCTGGTCGCCGTTCGTCCGACACGCGGAAGGGTTTGAGCTGAGAACTGCGGTGAGCGCCGCTGTCTCAGCCGGCCGCTGTCTCAGCCGGCCGCGTCGTCACCGTCGCTCCCACGGGACGAGCCCTGGTGTGTGTGGTGTTGTCGCTTCACTGTGGCCGTCAGAACTAACACGCCGCCCGTGCGTGAGGCGCCACGTGGTCCGTTCGCCCGCCAGCCGCTGCTTCGTCCCCCCCCCCCGCCGTCGCCGCCTGGCTTGCGCCGCCCCTGCCGCCGCTTGACCCGCCTCTGCGCTGCCAGGACGAGCAGGCTGTCCGACAGCGTGAGCAGGCGGAGCGCGAGCGGCGGCGCCGGTACGACGAGTTGCGGCTAAAGGAGCAGGAGCGCCGATCTCAGGTAGGGTCCGCTCTCCCCCTCCCTTCTGCCGCCGTGACAGGTGTCGGTGCCGGCGCGGGACCGCCGGCGGTGCGCGCGTATGCGCACGACCTAGTTGGGGAAGCGCTGGCTTCTGCGTTTGCAGTTATTCAAGGCATGGTCTATCGTTAAGGTCTGTACTGTATTGTATGGTCAAATGTGCTTGAACAAAAGCAATAGCCGTTTTGTTTCATGTGACGTGTCGCCAGTACACGAGATTGGGCTTTCCATCGTCTTGGCTGTTTGCCGCGCTTTTGGTGCACACCGGGACGGGGTCAGGCCGACGCGCTGGTGTGTACCTCAGTCAAGTACATTGGCACACTTAGCGGCCGCAGGAGCCAGCATGGTAGTGTGTGCATGGCCGCCAATGTAGTGCATGGCCGCATGGTAGTGTGTGCATGGTCGCTTGAGTTCGATGGCTCAGCCTACGGTCCAGCTGATGGTCCAGCTGGTCGTTCGGTGATCAGCTGATGATCCAGCGGATGGTTCGGTGGTCCAGCTGACGGTCCAGCTGATGCCGCTGCGGCCGGCGCGAGCTGCCGAGTGCTGACGGGCCGCGACCGGCGCCGGCAGGTGGAGGACCGGCGCCGGCAGTTGGAACAGCTGGACGCCGAGCGGCGCGCCGGCATCATGCGCCGTAACCTGGAGCGCGAGGCCATGCTGGAGACGCGCCGTCGCCACCGCGACAGTCAGATCCTGCTCGGATTCGGCAGCTCGACGCCGCGTTGGGAGCCAGAGCCCGACATGGGCAAGAGGTCAGCACCGCGGAGCTCTGCCCGCTGTGGCAAAGGAGCGGACACGCTCCGAGGAGGCGGCTGTGGACAGGAGCCCGACTGTTGGTCAGCAGAGCGCGCATGCGCATGCTGTGGGTGGTGATTGGTGCGCGCATAAGCACCGTATTTCGTGGCGACCCATGCCGTCGCGGTGGGATGCGATTTACTGGGTTATAACCATTCGGGTGGAAACCAACTGTGGCCTGTTTTATTATGATCGATGCTGTTCTGTTAGTGCGTGCGTGTTCCGTTTGGTCGTCCGAAGTGGGCAACACGTATAGAGAGAGCCTGCAGCCACATGGGACGGCCTCTGTGCGCCGGGCTCAGCCGTGCCCAGTGTCGCCGCTGGTCCGTCCCCGCGGCCTGGCTGACGCCGCCCCGTCGGCAGGTCGACATCGACAACACAGGTGGACGGCGCCGGCGACGCGGCGGCGCGGCCAGACGGCAGGCGGCCGCTGTCTGCGGCGCCGGCGGCCGCCGCCCGCCTTCGGGGCGACGGTGAGCACCGGCCGAGCGGGTCTCGCACGCGGCGCCGGCCGGGGAGTGCCGTGCCTTGCCGCCGGCGCACTGTCGCCGGCTGGGGCTGGGGCGCGCCACTGTCGCAAGCGGGTGCATCCGGGAGCACACACCGCGGCGGCCGCCGCGGCCACCGGAGCCACAGCACGGCCGTCACACTGTGTCACCATGCTCGGGCCGCCGCACGCCGTCGGCGGCACGGCGCTGGGGCGGCCGGCCGGCCGGCGCGGGGCGCCGCGCTGGCCGGCAGCTCCGGCGCACCGCCTCACGCCCGTGGTCTGGTGTTTCAGCGCTGCGCACCTCCGCCTCCCTGCACCGCGTGTTTGACTGGTCCGATGTGACGCCCCCCGCCCCGCGCACCCCCTCGGGTCCCCGCCTCCAGAGCTGGGAGTTCCGTGACGACTTTACGCCGGCGGGCCGGGCCGAGGCGCCGAGCCCGGCCGGGCAGCAGCTGGCTGGTGAGTGACCGGGTCGGCCTGCATGTCTCTCGCCTGGCCGTCTGTCGCCGCTCCGCTCCCTGCTCCCCGCTCCCCGCTCCCCGCTCCCCGCTCCCCGCTCCCCGTGCCGTCCGTGGCTCGCGCCGTACGCCGCTGGTGTTCGTCTGCCGCATGGGGCCGCCGCTGGTCCTCGCTCAACCCGGCCGAGACCCGACCGGATAGCTGACCGCCTGCTGTCGCTGAGGCTCCCCGCCGGCGATAACGCGATAACAACGACCTAGCGCCGCTGAGCCGGCGCCGCGCTTACAGTGGACCGGCTGGCATTAGACAACCAAGATCTCACAGCTCTAAATATCGAGGCTCATCCCGGCGTTTGGCTCTTTTCTCCCGTCTGTTTTTTCACTCTGTGCTGTCGTGTACAACTTATGTTTATTGTTTGTATTAAAGTGGGCTTCGCCGCCTAGCTGTGAAACTTCCGAACGCTTCAGGATAGACCTGGCTTATAACTTGGGGTTGAAGAGCGCGTTCAGCATCTCTTGCCGTTCAGTTTCCCAGTCCCTCGTACTGACTGCTGCGAGGTACGACAAAACCATACGCTGGTAGCACGTGGTCGTGAGAGGGGGGGGGGGGGCGTTCTACCAAAGAGTGCAATGCCATAGAACTAATGTATCGTGTTCGCGCGTTAGTTTATTGTTACGTCGGCTTTAACGCATTTGGTAGGTTTGGTGCTACATGCATTAGTTTGTGCCTGAATTTTATAAGCCTTGTAAAACTAATAATTCGCCAAATATTTCTTGCGAATAGTTCGCGACATAAAGAGCATTGCGACGGTAGTCGAAATGGGCGTTACGATATGTACATCCATTGAAAGCCCTCTTACTCGACTTCGCGGACAGCATATGAGTCCTCTTGACCTCATTGCTGATCTGTGCGGGCCATCCCGTTCATCCACGGTTTCTTCAAAGCTCAAAGATGACGCGTATTTCCCTGAGGGCGGAGAAAATCGTACATGTTCCGTGCCGCCCGTCAGCAGTCGCCCATTTCTGCGCCCCTGTGGCGGCTCCCGAAGTCTCCCTCAACTGGCCTCGCTGGACCGTCCACCCGCCGGCCGCGGTCTGCCGTCCACCCTGCGCGACCGCCCTGCAGGGACGGGTGACCCAGCCGGCTAGCGCGGCCTGCCCTGCCGCTGGTCCGTCCGCCCCGTGTGACCGCTCCAGCGGACGGGTGACCCAGCCGGCTAGCGCGGCCTGCCTCACTGTTGGTCCGTCCGCCCTGTGTGACCGCTCCAGCGGACGGATGACCCAGCCCGCTGGTGCGGCCCTGCCCCGCTGTTGGTCCGTCCGCCCTGTGTGACCGCTCCAGCGGACGGGTGACCCAGCCCGCTAGCGCAGCCTGCCTCGCTGTCGGTCCGTCCGCCCTGTGTGACCGCTCCAGCGGACGGGTGACCCAGCCCGCTGGTGCGGCCGTGCCCCGCTGTTGGTCCGTCCGTCTGCCCGGCCCTGCTCCGTCGCTGGCCGTCCGCCGCGCCCGGCACAAGTCCGCCTCGCCGGCTGGGCCTTCCGGCCTTGCACGCTTCCATAAGCTCTTTGTTGGTGTTGTGCATCGCATTGTGGCACCTGATCTCCTCGAGTGGCTGCCAGAGGTGTTCTGCCATCTCCCGGTTTGAACCTCCTATTTTTTGTTATGGTGGTTCTGGCTGATAGCATTTGTCGCCTATCAGCACTCGTCTCGTAAACGTCTTAGTCCATTCAGGCCTGTAGTTTGTGTAGCTTGCGTAGCGACGGGAAACGAGTGGGCTTCAGCTGCGTGCTGCGTGGGTCTTCGATATTACGGCGCCATTAAGCGGCCGTGCTGTGCGCTGTGGCATACTAGACCAGCGGCGTCAATTTACTGCTTCTAACATTGCTGATTCTCCACACCGATCATTAATTTCTGTATCTCACTGCTTCACTGTACAGAATAACCATCTTATCGTCTGTTTTTCCGCGGCCAAGGAAGAAGACGTCCTGCCTCCAGCATGATAAATCTCCGACCGAGTAAGAGCGGATTGCCAGAGAGGGTGTGTTTGACAATCGTCTTCAGCATCCAGCTTTCGATCACGAGCGCGTTTGCCATACCGCCGATACCACGCGAGTAACGCCTCCACCACTGGCACGAGTAACGCTGTCTGGCGGCGCCGTCGCTGCGCGCCGGGCCGGAACGGAGCGACGTGGGGGAGCGGGCCGGCCGGTGACGGCGCTCCATGTGCGGCTTTCAGAGGAGCCACCGTCGGCGCGCCGTCTGCGCTCCGACCTGACGCCGACCGTGCCGGGCGGCTCGTACCGCGACCCGCCGCCGCCGGCGCGCCGCCGCCCTCCAGGTAAAGCCGTCTCGATGACGCGGCTGGACCAGCTGGCGCGGCCGCGGCCGCCGGCGCCGCTGTCGCCCGTGCACGAGGCCACGCCCGCCAAAAGCATGTCCAAGAGCATGACGCATCTGGCGGCCGGACCTCGGCGGGGCGCGGCCGGCGCGGCGCGCCTCTCGCCGTCGCGGCCCACGCGCACCGAGCAGCTGCGCTGCGCCGTCCGCGAGGGCCGCCAGTCGGGCGTCGCCGCCGCCGCCGCCGCCTCCGGCACACAGCAGCAGCCGGACGGCAACGGTGAGTGAGGCGATGACCGGCGGGAGGAGAGACGGGCGGACAGACGTGCGGACGTGAAGACGCGTATAGGGGGAGACAGGCCGAGGGGACGGACTGGCACGACGTAAATGGGCGTCATACGACCAGGGCAGGTGGCGCACCTTCAAGCTTAAATCATCGTCGTTACCACCGGCGCGTCAGAGCTTGTTTGTTCATAAACGGGGGTTGAATGCAGCGACGGACCCACTGACGATGGTGTTGGTGCGTGGGAGGCTCTGACGACGACATCGGCACGACGCGCTGGTCGTAATGTCCGACACTGGCTGCCGGAGAGGGGTGAGGGACTATGCGGATACGGTCGGCCGAGGGCTCAGTACAAACAGACCGTTGGGCGGTGGGTGGCGACTCAGGCGTCCGGTTGACGCCGGTCACTGTTGACAGACAAAACGGGATATAGCCTCCTTTAAGCCGCTAGAGGCATCGGTGTCACTTGACTGCCTCTGTGAGCGGGAGAGGCACGGAGTGACGGCTGTTGCCGGCGTTCAGCGCAGCCTTAACCTCTTACAGCGGCGCTCCGACTGACGGGATGTGACATGAATGGAGTAAAGCGTGACCGACCAAAAAAGACATGACTTTAAATATATAGAACATCTCAAACGTGTAGGCACGTGTCTTCACATCAGTCATCAGCCAGCAGCTAGGCCGATGCGACCCCGCATCGGCGGGATGTGACGGCCGTGGTGGCGTCTCCGGACGGGGTCGCCGGTGTTGTCCGACTAGGCTAGGTCGCTCTCTCCCTCTCTGTGTAGCGTCGGTCGACGCTCTCAAGGAGCGCCACGAGTCCCCCAGGCGCCCAAAGGTAACTTTGTGGCCTGAATCTGCACTGACCGCACGCTGCTGCGCATGCGTGGTGTGTTTGCGTCATGCTGGATGGTTGGCTGGGGCCGATTTGATCGAGCTTTTGCCCTGGTGTGATGTGTCGAAAGAGCGTTAGAAGCTGGCTGGCTGGCTGGCGTTTAGATGTGCATTTTGGGCACGCGCGCCAACCGAAAGCATTCACGTGCACGGCCTGTGCATGACTTGCATTGCAGCTGTCACTGAACATCGCCTTAATTAAGCGTAGAATTGTCTTGCGTCTCTGTTTGACGTTCGACCACCGTTTGTACTGTGCGCGTAATTTATACATGATTGACCCCTCCCCAGTCTTGCTACGCCCCACTGGCGGTGGCGTGAACGTAGTTGGTGTGATCGGAAAGTCTCCCTCCTCTGACTGCATCGACTCTGCCCTCTGACTCCGGTCTGTTGAACCAGCGGTCCGCCGCTTCAGTCCGCTCGTCGCCGCCCCCGTGTGCCCGTGTCCGCCGCCGCCTCGCCGGCTGACGCGCCCCCCCCCCCCCCCGGCATGTCGTCAGGAGCCGGCGTCCCGACCACGCCCACCTCGCCGTCGCGGCCGACCTCTGCGCTCTCACAGCAGAGCAGCGGCGGCGGCGGCGTGGCGCTGCGAAGCCGCGCCTCGCCGCGCCGCCAGAGACCCGTCAGCATCGCCGGCATCCCGTCCAGGGCGGCCGGACACGCCGCCCGCACCGACACGGACGGTACGCGGCGATGCGGCTCGCTGAACGGGGGGCAGCGGGAGCAGCTGGGCCAAGTCCGCTGCCGCCCTGTCACCCAAGTGTCCGCGACGGCACACGGGCTGTGTCGGGCAGGCACGACGTGGCAAACGTAGTCGTATGCTCAGTTGTGAGTGAGGGGTGACACCCCCAGATCTGCTGCACGTCTGCGCCCGCACGGCGGGGCATTGTCGTTCCCTAACCTCCACTACCGCACGCCTGCGCAGTAGCTCTGTGTGACGGCTGGCCGGTGGCGGCCGTGTGCGCGGCTCGAACGGGTCGGCGCCCGTGCCCTGACCGGCGGCTGGTCTGTGCACAGCTGCAGCACGGACGCCGACGGAGGGCCGCCGCCCGCTCTCCAGTCACAGCAGGCCGGCGCCGGCAGTGCCGCCGCGCCGCACCCCCGCCCAGGTCAAGGCCGACGACGCCAAGAAGAGGGTGAGTTGACGCGCCGCGCGCGCTGCCACCACCGGCGCCACGTCAGTAGGGCCCGGCCGCTCGTCTCAGAGCTGGGCCACGGCTTCACATCGGGCGCCTGTGTCGCGGCCGATGCGCGGCTCTGAAAAACTTATGTAACCTGGATCTTTGTGCGCTTTGAAGTACGTCTGCTAAATGGTGAGCCCTTAGGTTTGATTTGGGTGCGGCGCAGAGTTCTTTTTTATGTTGTTGCAAGTCTTAGCCAAGGTATGGTCGGTCAAACTGTTTCACCATCACAGCCTGCGTCTGTTATCCTTGGCGTCCGCTGTCGCAGAAGCTGCGCTCCAAGTCCAACACACCACAGCCGTCTCCGGCGGTTGAGGTGGCGCCGCCGCTGCAGGATGTGGTGTCTGAGCCGCCCGGGGCTCAAGCTGAGAAGGGGCCCGGCGCCGTGGCGGCCAGGCCGCCATCCCAGAACAGTGCCCAGGTGGCGGGCGACGCGGCCGCGGTCGGTCCGCCCTCCCAGACCAATGATGTGACGCCGTCGGCCGAGCCGGCGGTCGCGCCTGCCGCGTCGGGTGCCGCCGGCGACGCCGAGCCGTCCCCACCGCCGACTGGCCCCGGTGCTACGGAAAAGGCAGCGGAGCAGCCGGCCGCGGCGGCTGGTGTCCATTCGCAGGCGGAAGAGAAGCCCATGGCGGTTTCTGTCTCGCAGACCGCGGACAGTGAGGCGAGCATGCCGGCTGCTGTCGTTGAAACTGCGCCGACACAGCCGGCTCCTCAGGACGCGGCCGTCGACGCGGCTCCGGCAGCCGCCACCGCCAAGCTAGTCATTCCAGAGCCGGCCGCGGTCCCGCCGCCGTCGCCGCCAGCGGTGGAGCCAGTGCCGTCCGCGCCGCCGGCCGAGCCGGTGCCGTCCCTGCAGCCGTCGGAGGCGGCGGCCGTCGAGGCTGCCGCTCCAGCACATGTGGGGCCAGTGCCGCCAGCGGAGCCGGCGGAAGCCGAGCCGTGTGCGGCGGCCGTCGAGGCTGCCGCTCCAGCACACGTGGGGCCAGTGCCGCCAGCGGAACCGGCGGAAGCCGAGCCGTGTGCGGCGGCCGTCGAGCCTGCCGCCCCAGCACACGGGCCAGTGCCGCCAGCGGAGCCGGCGGAAGCCGAGCTGTGTGCGGCGGCCGTCGAGCCTGCCGCTCCAGCACACGTGGGGCCAGTGCTGTCAGCGGAGCCGGCGGCAGCCGAGCCGTGTGCGGCGGCCGCAGACTTGGAGCCTTCCGTCGCCGCCTCTGGTGCGACGCCGTCCAGTGCAGCCGCCGTCCCAGAGCCGGAGAGTGAGGCCCCTGCCGCGCCGGTGGAGTCGACCCCGCCGTCCGGTCTAGGCGGCGAGGAGCCGGCAGCTCTTCCAGCGGCGGTTCCGGCCGTCCTTCCAGCGGCGGTTCCAGCCGTCCCTCCAGCGGCGGTGGAGGCAGCTAGTCAGCCTCCGGCCAGCCCTGCCGCGGTGCAGCCCGCCCAGCCGCCGGCGGAAGGCGCGCAGGAGTCGCAAGGTGAGGCACCGCGCCGAGCAGGCCAGCGCGTCGGCCCGAGTGCTCCGCGTTATATGCGATTTTTAACTGTCAGTTGTGCTGGGTTTCATAATCAAAGTATTTTTGTTTTCGTTGTTGGTGGGAAGTGCGTAACATTTGCACTCCTCCGATAACTACCCATTCTGTTTGAATGTCACGGTACATATCGAGAGGTTCAAGTCAGAACTCAATTCATCTTCAGTTTTGACCTATTATTTGATTAAGAATTTTGCTTGAGTTTAGTAAAAGTCTTGTGTCGACTACAGCGGATAGATCGCCGGCTAGCTTGGTCCCGTTCTAATTTCAATCACGTGGAAGGCGTGTCCGGTGGGTCCTGTACACGCCTCGGCGGCGTTAGGGCGCCTCGGCAGGTGGTGAGGTCGCGACTGACTGGGCGCCCTTCACGCCGCCGGCAGCAGATGGCGCTGGCGAGCGGCGTCGGGCGGGCTACACCAGCGAGGCGGCGGCGCGCGCCGCCCTGGCAGAGAAGCGACGCCGCGCCCGTGAGGAGGCCGAGCGCCAGGCGGAGCTGGAGCGCCGTCGCCAGGAGGAGCAGGAGCGCGAGGAGCAGGAGCGCCAGCGGCTGGAAGAGGAGCAGCACCGCCGGGACATGGAGGAGCAGGAGCGGCTGATGGAGGAGGCGGGCCGCGCCGAGCAGGAGCGCCTGCAGCGCGCCATCGAGGTGAGGCGCCGGCCGTCGCGGCGCGCCGTCGGGTCAGGGCGTGTCGAGGCAGAGGGTCGCCAGGCCTCGGGTGTCACGGCGTCAGCTGTGGTACGTACGGTGCGGTGTCGCCCAGTGGACCAGCGACTGGACGTGTCGTGGCGATGTGTGCGTGGCCGTTGCCGTGCTACCTTGCGGGCTGACATGTCTTACCTTTGCCTGACCTGTGCGGAGCCCCAGCTGACCTGAGCCGATTGTCCCTGACCTGCCGTGGGCTCAGCTGGCGGACCAACAGCGGCTTGAGGAGAGCCGCCGCCGCGAGGAGGAGGAGCGGCAGCGCCAGCAGCGCGAGCTGGAGGAGGCGCTGGCCCGCCAGGAGGCGGAGCGGGCCCGGCTAGCCGCCGCTCAGAAGCTGGAGCTCGAGGAGGCGGAGCGCAAGAAGCGGCGCAGTCGCGTGGCCGAGATCATGAGCCGGACACGCGGCGCCGGCGGCGGCACGCCGACCAAGGTACGGACCGTCAGCTAGCGGCGGCCGACCGGCGGCAATCACAGCGCTCACCGCGAACTGGGGCTCGACGGCGGCAGCCAGCCGTTAGTGAGGTTACCTGTCTCATCGTTCACATCGTTTCTCTTTTACGTGCTCCCTTATGTTGGGACACCCAACCTGGCCTGCTGTAGTCGTATTACACCTGATTTCGCCTCATCTGAGCTACTCACTCGTCATCTGGACTGCTCATTCCACCTGAAGTACCAGTTCTGCCCCTTGCCCCCAAGCCCCTCGTGTCGGTCGCTAGCCCTCCGGCGGATATGTTCCCTGCTCCCGGGGCCCCCTGTGTCGGCCCTCGGCCCTCCGGCGGGTCTGTTCCCCGCTCCCCGGGCCCCCTGTGTCGGCCCTCGGCCCTCCGGCGGATATGTTCCCTGCTCCCGGGGCCCCCTGTGTCGGCCCTCGGCCCTCCGGCGGATATGTTCCCTGCTCCCGGGGCCCCCTGTGTCGGCCCTCGGCCCTCCGGCGGGTCTGTTCCCCGCTCCCCGGGCCCCCTGTGTCGGCCGTCGGGCGCTCTGATGCGCCGCCTGTTCCGACAGCCCGGCGCGGGGGACGAGCCGGACCAGGTCAGTGCTGGTGTTGTCCGCCGCCAGCCAGCATGGGTGTTGTCAGGTGTCACCAGGGCGGGTGGTGTCCGCCGCCAGCCAGCATGGGTGTTGTCAGGTGTCACCAGGGCGGCTGGTGTGCGCAGACGGCTGTTTTCCTCGGGTCGAACTTGAGACCCAACGCCATTATGGTCTGCGATGCCGACTTCCTCTCGTGTGGTGCTTTTCTGCGTAGCAGGCAACGTCCTCACGACCATGCACTGTTTGGATCGCGAGGAAGGCCTTTTGTGGACTGGTAAAGCGTATCATCCGCTTCTGTTGTAAGTGTATATGCTCACAAGACGCGTTAGGTGCTGCGCCATGTTCAGATAAGCCAAGAAAAGTCAGTGTCTTAATGGAACCGTGGACTGCCGTAGATTTTGCGGAGGAGAATTATACCAATAGACCAGCTGACAAATGCATGCTGAATGGTCGTGCGGATGAATGGGATATCAACTATTGAATGAGGTTATGCACATCAGGCTTCATTGATTCAGTAAAATATTATGCATATGGTGCCATTGAATGCCAGTCAGTGATGCGATAAGTTATGGTAATTTGCGCGCAATGTGGCAGTAGGATCTGACAAGCGCACAGGTCTTAAAGTAGGACATTGGAGGTCGGTCTTGCTCATTTTCGGCTACGTGTCTCAATTCTTAGCGCTTCTCTTATTGAACAATACCCACTAACAAGAGCCCCACAATTGTTCTGAATATATGGAACACGTACTGTTCCCGAGCTGTCGAAAGTGATAGCAAAACAGTTCGGAGACGGCTTTTATTTTTCTGATATGCCTGTACGTAACTGTTTGCACCTGTCATGGCAAAATGGCGCGCACCGGATTCTTTGGGCGTCATTACACGCACGGGCTATAGACTCAGGCGCGATTGGGGGGGGGGGGAGTGGGCTCTGCCGGACAACAGCCCGGCCGGCCATGGCCGACAGCCGCTGACCGGCCGTGCCTCCGGGCTGAGACGGGCGCGCTCTGCCGGTCGTGGCCGCCAGCTGCTTACCGGCTGTCCTCTCCGTCGCCGCAGACCTCGTCCGTGTCAGAGCTGAACGCCATGAACGCGCCGCCGCCGGCGGCGGACAGGACACGGCCCGAGCCGGCCGCCGAGCCCGAGCAGCCCATGTCGACCGACGCCAGTCCGGTGCATACCAATGGCACCAACGGCACCAACGGCCGCACGCCGGCGACGCCGGCCAGTCCCGGCGGCGAGCCGGCCGGCCGCGCCGACAGCGGCGTCACCAGTGGCGAGTACGGGTGAGTGACCGTCATGTGCGAGGAGCGCGGGTCAGTGGGGGCCAGCAGACGGAGGAGGGGTCACAGGGTCAGCAGTGAGGAGCAGGTGTCAATGGAGGTCACCGATGACCACTACGGACCTTTGTGTGTGACCAGTCAGTATGGGACGATGCGGGTCAGCAGTGGCGCGAAAGGTCGGGCAGGTCATTTGTGACAATTACAGGTCAATGCGGGTCGCCTTTTAGACTCATTGGGGTATCAGAAAATTGTGTTGGTCAGTACGAGCCGGTAATCGCTAGCTAAAACAACTCCCGGCCGATTTAACGGTGACGCCGGGCTCATCGGTTGGTGCGGGCTGCCTTCGGCTGAACCATGACGTGAAAACTACCACTGTAATATGCTTTGGCTTTGGATTGTCTCGCACTGCTGGAGTGGTGATACTGTCTCGCTGTTGCGACGGGGTGGTGTTGGCCCTCGGACCGTGAGCTGTGTGTCTCTCCCCCGACAGGTCCAGTCTGTCATCGCTAGACCCGCTTAGTCTCAAGTCGTCGACGGTCAGCAACGACGACGACTCCCTTAACTCCAACGTGTCGCAGTCGACGACGACGGGCGCGACGGACGGCCCGGCGTCACCGGCGGCCGACGACGCGGCCCCTCGCGCCGCCCAGATCGCCGGTGAGCGCCCCGGACCGGCTGGCCGCCCGCCGGCGCGGTTCGCGGAGCCGGCCGACACGGCGTCCCCAGCGGTGGCGTAGGAAGGCCCCTGCTAGAAGCACCAGAGCTTGAGTTGCCTCGGATGCTCTGCCGTCTGTGATGAGAACGTTGCTATTGTCCGTGGCAGCCGTGTGGCGAGCAGCTGCGGTGTATGCCGGGCGTGAGCGAGACACGGGTGGCCGGGTGCGGGGCGTGAGCGCCAGCCTGGCCCGGTTGCCGGCCGAGTGACGTCACGGGCGGCGCTCGGCGCCGCGGGCCTGCAGCGTCCCAAGCGGAGCTGAGCCTGTGCTCGCTGCGAGGCCTCGGTGCTTTGCGGGGAGGGGGGGGGGGGGGGGGGGGGCCGACTTCGGCTGTCCCCGCGTGGGTGGCCCGCCCGTCCGCCCGCCGCCGACAGGCCTTGCCGTCCGTTTCAGACCTGATCCAGATGTAGCGGGCGTCTGATGCAGTGACCGTGACACGCTGTGACCGGACCGTCCGAGCGGGCGGCGTGCCGGAGCCGTCCCACCGGGGCAATAGTGATACTGGCAGCGGCAGAAGGAACAGCGACCGGCGACGGCAGCGCCTCTGCCGGCCACTCGGCGAACTACGCTCGCGGCCGGCCGCACCGCTTGTGCAGTGGAGTCGGGACGGCCCGCGAGCGCTCCATCGGGGCCGGCGGGGTTACTAATACGAGTATGTGCCGGTGTTTGCCTGAAAGGGAGAGAGAGAGGACGGGAGACGAGGGCGCTGGCCCCGCCCCTGTTTTAGCTGTATCACACTAAGCGCGCGCGCATGTAAGCTACACTGTATTAGCCTACCTTGGACGGTGTCTTAGGCTCGTAACCTGGCCCGGCTGTTGGAAGCATTGTTTAACACGTTTTAAGGGCGGTCAGAGTGGGAGGAGCCCGACCGGCCTGTGGTCCCGGTTGGATCCTCGCTGGCCAGACAAGCCGCTGATAAGCGGCGTCGTCACGCTGGCTCCAACAGCGGCGCGTCTCGGCTTCCAGAACTGTTACGTGTCTGTCGACACTTTTAACGGACGAATGGTTGGAAGTTTCAGTCATTATTTCTCGAGTAAAGTTTATTTTACAGTGTCTGACCGTAAAATAAACCGCAGTAATCTAACCGACCGCGTTGTTCTGCGGTGCTGCGCTCTGTCGACCGAGGAGTGGAGATGTTTGTTCGATTAATACATGGACGGAACGCTGGAGGTGCGGACGTGCTGGTCTGGCTCCAGTCCACCATGAGTGCAATGTCAGGAATCGGACAATTACTTCCACTAGCTGCTCATGGCCTGGCGCCTACGGCGTTATGGCGCCTATGACGTCCATAATGTCTCGCTTAATGACCAGAAAATGCAGCCAGACTCGGGGCTTAGGTATTTGTGATATGTTCAATTCCAAGAACGACGCCGCATTACGTGCTATCCAGGTGCTGCATAACGATGGGCCGATGGCCTTGCTTCTAGTACCAGGTCAGGACGTGCCTAGCAGTCAGACATTCGCCACATTCCTCGCACTAGGGTGCGCCCTGTCGCAGTGACAAAACAAGTTTGCTGCGTACGTATGTCTAAATCGCAACCGGCCAGGAGGGATCCAGCACCGGCCAGGAGGGATCCAGCATCGTCTTGGCGGTGTAAACGGCAAAGATCTTCCCAAACCGGTCGCATCGGACCTTTACTCGTCACCATAACATACTTAGGTTACTTTAATGATGAAAGAGCGCGAAACGAGACAGTTAAAATAAGAAATTACGACATTGGATATATTTTAACGCAGTTAGACTTGTGAACGTTCAGCGGACAGTGCTGCGATGCGTCCTGAACAGCGGAAGCCTTGCTACGCGTCCTGAACAGCGGAAGCCCTGCTACGCGTCCTGATCAGCGGAAGCCTTGCTTCGCGTCCCTTCAAACAGAGGTACAGCCGGTGCCAGCGGAACCTTATGGAAATACAGTCAGTGCCAGCGGAACCTTATGAAAATACAGTCAGTGCCAACGGGAACTTACGGAAATACAGCCTGTGTCAGCGGGACCGTACGGAAATGCAGCCAGTGCCAGCAGGACCTTACGAATCGTCAGCAAGGATCTTCCCTGAACTGTGGTAAAGCGAGACCGGCTCTGCTGCGAGGCTGGCAAGTTCCTGCTCAGGAATGCCACATTTTCAAAGTGACAAAGATATAAAAATGAGCCGATGAATTAGGCGTCACATCGGGCCAGATCACCAAACGCGCGCTCGGGGGCCTCGTCGAGTCGGCTGGCGGCCCCGCCGCGCAAATCTCGCTCTCGCAGACCCGAGCTGAGGTCGTTCGTCCTCTTGAGGTCGATAAGGTCGTTCGTCCTCTTAAAAACAACCGGATCAACGTGTTCGAAAACAGAGACAGATGTATGGGTGGTTGGCGAATTGCGACAACTTGATAGCGTAATTCAACTTGAGCTTTCCTCTCTGGAGATAAGATGACGGCTCATTTGCTTCTATCAGCAGGGCTGCAATGCGGGTAGTACGGAACGCCCCAGGAACAATACGGACACACGTGGTGGACAGTATCGCGCGCGGCTTTAGAGGACACCGGGGCGCTGTCGTAAAGCCGGCGGATTAGTGCTCGGTACAACTTTAGCGAGGCACAGCCATCCACGCCATACGCCGTGAGACATTACCTGCAGCACACAACGCTTTTGACAGCTGGCCTTAAGGTAGATAGTTTTGGCAATTCTGGGGCCCATTGTCTGGTCGGATGAGTTTGCCGTTTTGTGGTTCCTTAGCGGTCTAAGGCTCTTTGGCCTTCGTAGAGGGGGGGGGGGGGGGGCAGAAGACACTCGTTATCCTGAGAATCCTGCGGACTTCCGGGATTCTTCAGGATGTGGAGGCGGGCACTTAGTCTCCTCGTTGGACCTTGATCGGCTCAGAACCTTGTGGCTGCTGAAAGGAATTGGGCCTGTCAAAAATGTCCCCTAAATTGTGACAAGGCCTCCGTCATGTTCCGGCTTTAGTTGTTTTCTCATGTTTTCGGGCTTGTGCCGATTTTGTTTTTCATCACCCATGAGTGGAGGCTCTTTTACCAGACTGCGACACTGGAGAGTACAAGGGTGCCATGCTTCACTCAGACACTTTGATCATTCTAAGCGTCCTTGACCAACCCAGTGGTCAAATGGGCTAACGTAGAACTTTTTAAGAGTCTTGATAGTGCTGTCGATGACCCCTGTAGCGAATCTGGGGTGCTCGTTGACTTTCTCGAACGTCAGTGCTAACGGCTCCCTGACCAGCCCGATGTTTTTAAAAGTTCTCCGGATTCACCGCAGTACCGGCCATCTTTTTCTTCAAGGGCGTTGTGCGCCGTTTCTGCTGAAGCGAAAGACAGGCGAGGTCCGTGAAGACAGTCTGTGAAGTTAGCAATTTTGAGCGATTTGTTTAGCCAAGAGTTGCGATTTCGCTGCAAATGCATCGGACGGTTCATAATGGCATGAAAACGCCGCATCTGACGTCTATTTTGTAATATTACGAGACCTTGAAGGTTAAATTAAATGTCAAAGGACGGCGATCTCCACATCACCAAGGAGTTACCAGCCGATTTCAGATTTTTAAGCATCAGAGTATTCACCAAGGCATGAACAAGTGTCCACACAAAAGTCCTGGCCTCCTCAGGTCACAGTTCAAAGTCACATTAAAGCTCAAATGACGGGGAACTCCACATCACCCAACAATTCGCTTATTTGGAGCTTCCAACACTTCACCTTGAAAGGGCAGGATTTTTTAACGGACGCTAGGTCGTGCGCTGTTGAATATTCTGATGCTTAGCAATCTGAAATGGGTAGGTACCATTGATACCATGATATCCGGACCTTGAATTTCAACTAGAAGATCACGTGGTATTGAAAAATAGACTGTCGACACGGTCCGTACCTTAAAAGGAGTGTTCACATTTATATGGAGTATGCAACTGAAACGACCATTTTGAAGGCCTTTTGGTGCTGTTCACAGCCCTGCCCTTCTTACAGGGATTGTTTCACATTTGAAGATATTGAGTTAGGCATCAGATATGATGGGAAATGCTTCCTTGTAACCATTGGTAAGCCTTAAAGCCTTAAAGTTTAAAAATGACGCTAAGCAGCCAAATTTCAAAGTTTATACAAATGGGCTCCATTACGGCATTATTTGATGGCGTCATGAAGTGGGTTTATGACAACAGCAAAACCTGGCATCATCTGGCAGCCAGACCTAAAGAACATCTCAAAACACACGAAAGCTGACACCAACTGGTCATCCTCGTCGCGGGGGGCTGTGTCGGGGGTGGATTCGTGAGTGGGTTATTTGTGGATTTTTTTGTCTTGGCGCTGGCCGTAAGAAAAGCTTTCGTAGACTGTTTGACATGCGCAACGTAGCGATCGCCAGCGTTTATGATAGATATACAAAGCACGATATGCTGTGCTGCTGCTGTTGTTGCTTTGCTGTTGATGATTTTACCAATTCTTTATCGTCGACCCATCGTTGCGCGCAGTGCTGTAATCCTGACATTGATATCATGTGATGTGTACAGTAGTCATTGTCCTGATTGTTACTGGAAATGGGATGTCGTGCCAAAAGTAATAAATTTATAACATTGTCTTTATTGTTTGTGACTGGAAATGTGGTGCCATGCGAAAGCTTATAAATTTGTAACGTTGCCATGCATTGATTGTCAAAGCATTGGCATTGCTATGGTAAAGATGGTAAGGGCTACCAATATTTTTTGTGCTTAGGATTGTTCATGCAGTTTATAGTTAACCCTGCTATAACCATTGTGGTGGAACAAAATTATTGCCGTAGACAGTCCTTTGGCATTGTTAAATAAACCCGTCTAGTTTCTGAACCCCGCAGCAGCGAAAATGGAGAGCGTATATTTGGAAGAGTATTTCAAAGTCACCTTGGCATTCATGAGGTCATACTAACGCCATTCAAATCGTGCCATTTCATAAGCCACGCGACGATCAAGGTCAAGCAAAATATAATTGCCGAGGCGTTCGTATCTGGCGTTGGTGAGCACCATTTCCAAATATAACAGCCGTCAATTGGCTCTCAATTAGTGTTGTACAAGGTACGATAAATTAATCAGATTATGATGCATTTAGGAGCATGCCTAGGTGCTAAACATGCAATTGTCTTTTCCACTTCAAAAGTATGCCTTCAGATATAAATAAGCTACAGCTATACGTGACGCATTGAGAGGCATGTTTAAATGCCAAACATAGAATTGTGCTGTATAGAGTAGTGTTTTCCACTTCAAACGTATCCCTACAGTTATAAGTAGGCTTGTTTCATGACATCTGACGTTTGCTTTATATCTTCAAATGCGAAACATTCCCTTAAATTGACCATTTGACGCGTTTTCAGCAAAATCAGAACCCGTCGCTGAAAAAGCTACACAAATCGTTAGCTTCACGAATGTACAGGCGACGCCATACAGCCTGTACTGCCGAGTGCGTTGTAAACCCCCAATCGCAAGAACATTCCAAGCGCTTTTTCAGAATGGTTCGAAGGTGTGTTTTAAAATTTCCACGGGCACCGAATAGCCCGCTGAAATTATGCAAGGAAAACAAGGCTTACCTCGCCGAAGCCAATGGGGAGCAGCTTACCTCTGCCTTCCAATCTGGATGCACTAGCACCGATACTCAGCCGTATGAGGCAACCCACTGGCCGCTTGAGTCCGTCGGCAAAAAATATAAAAAAACGCCCGTTAAGATTCGTGTGACGTATTTGGTACAATCTTTCGTCCCATCATATGCTGATGAAGATGCACGCTATGGCCAACTGTTGAAGCTACCCGTTGTTCGTTTCCAAATGAAAATCGCTCGCGATGTACGTTGAAAATGAGAACACTTTATTTGCATGCTGGATCAAAGAGCTCCTGTCCTTCGGTCAAGTGCGATTTCGAACAGACAGTTACGATAATTGAGCTAGAATTGCTTTCGAATTGGGATAGGGGTGAAAAATTCCATCACAAACATACCGTACAGGAGTGACAAACTCAACTCACAAAAGTTGGAGCTTATGTGAGTCAGTGAGAGATACTCCAACAAACAAATACATACATTTCAAGGTGTCATGGATGTAATATCAGAAACACGACAAAATGTTTTTAACGTCTTAGCTGATTATCGTGAAACATAATATATTAAAAAACAGTAATTTCAAAATAGTGAAATGAGCATCAAACGCCATGTATCACCAATGTTTTGAT